TCTACTGCATTTTGGGAAAATTGCTGAGTAACAATTTTGGATACACAAACCTGGGATTTCACTGTGGAAGGTTGATACCATAAGGCAACAGTCCTTAGAAACAAAGCTAAGCGTCACTTGCTAGTCTAATTCATAGGCTGTCTTCAGGTGCAAATCCAGGATCTGGAAAAAAGGTGTGCAGGAGCAGCTACCAGTCCTACAGGCCCCTAGCCTCCTCCTCCTCCCACCCACTAGTGTGGACAGACCATGCTACTGGAGCTTCTGGGGACTTTTTTTTTTTATCAGAATCCCCCCTCTTCCCCTTGGTGCTCAAAGGCACACTCTCTTCCCTGCCTGCCCCTGCTGCTTACCCTGCTGTCCCAGGGGAGAGGGAAGCTGCTCCTGCCTGCTCCAGCTGGGCTCAGCTGGAACCACTGAGAGCAGCAGTGGTGATGGCTGCAAGGGTTCCCTCTCCCTGGGCCTGCTTCCACTCAGGGGACTGGGCGGGGGGGAACCTATTCTATAGAATAAAATGTTAGGCGGCCTCTTGGACCCTTGAATGGCTTGGGTAATTCAGATAGTAATAGCATGGCACCTTCGGGTGCCAGGAGCCCCTCCCAGGGGTGCCCTAACATGGGTGATCCACAGCTTGTGGAGGCAGATTGTAAAACAGCTGTGGCTGGAGCCCACGCCCTTCCTGGTTCTCCCAGAAACAGTGGCATGCAGTGTTGGCAGGACTATCCTGTGCCCCACTGTGGGATCAGACTGGAAAAGGCTGTGGTAAGAGGACGTGCTCTGGCTCCAGACTTCAGCAATGGGGAGGGGTCGGACTGGGCTGTGGGGCAGCTGTTCGTGCTGCTCCGCATGCATCCCTCCCCGGAGCCAGGCTAGGCTGGAACAGCACTTTACACCGCTCAGGCAGAGTCAGACTGAACTGAAGCAGCTTTTTGATTGCCTGGCTGGAGGATCTGGGGGACACCCAAGGCAGTAAGACCCCCTCCTTTCCACCCCCACCCCAGGGACGCAGGGGAACTTTGCTAAGGGCGCAAAAATATAGTTGCACCTCTGCTCCTGCCTGCTTTAGGTTTGTCACAAAACCCTAATACAGGCAGAGCAGAGCAGAGCAGATGGCAGCACCCTAGTTGAGAAGCACCGAGGTAAGTGGAGGCAGCCACCCTTCTGCCACTGTGTGCACCCCAGGTCTTTACTTTGCTGTGCACAGCACACACACCCTGGCTCCTTTCCTGGTGGCTGGAGTCCCTGCCACATGTGCACCATGGGCATCCCAGCTCCCTGCCATGCTATGCCACCCCAACCCTAAAGTAGGGGCAGAAAACAGAAGCTGGAGGAGGAAGGGGGAGTCTAAAGACCCCAACTGCTGCTGCAGCAGGAGCAATGGGAGGAGAAGCAGCTGGACAGGAGCCTGCAGGCCACATGCTAACCCCTCTGTGGGCTGCACACCAGCTGAACAGCCATATTTTGGGGCAAGCGTAGTACCTGAAATTATTTTTTCAATTAATTATGAAAACTTAGACTTCATATTGATCATATAAAAACATCTGATACTTAATGCTAGAAAAATTGGTTGCAGTAGTGAATGCATTTGACTAGACTGAATCTGGATAGTTGTGTAAAGGATCAGCTATGGTTTGAAAACTGGGGTTTTGAATCCGGTAAGCAAAATTATACTGCAAAAAGTAAAACCAGTTTCAGAGCAGCAGATCTTCTCCCAGTGTTCACAAACAAAAGCATGTTTGCAGAGTACCAGTTTTCTCCCTAGTGCTTTTAATACATGAACCCACCTTTGTATATTTGAGCACCTGCACTTAAAAAAAAACAAGTAATCAAACACAAAAATAATACAGAAGATAAGAGACTGAGCAAAATTAGTTTGAATCATTAAGAACATGGTGACACCTGCTTTTAACTTAAAACCAGATAAAGACAGGTAGCTTTCTTCACCCAGACTAGAAATTAAAAAAACAAACAGAAAAAACCTTGTCATTGTGGAATTAATATTTCTATAATGGTCGAAAACTAGAGGAACCTAGGGAACAAATCCAGAGGGTACAGCAGTCTGGTTGTACCTCCTTTTCATTGCTGCTGCTGCTGTCCTCAGCTGACCCAGGTGCAGAGGTCTGCGCCCTAGAGCCACTCCTGCCCTGCTCCAGCTGCAGGAAGCAGCTGAATGGGGCACCATGCTCTGCCAGGAATAGGAACAGTGCAGTTCCCGGCCCAGGCAGGGAGCAGCCACCAGACGGAGGAACCTATGTACTACTCCTACTGTCCCTGATTGAGTGTGGCACCCTGCACAGCTGCTCCCCACAGCCCCAGGCCTGGCTCAGCCAGGGACAGTGTCAGCAGCCCTTTCATGCACCTGCTTCCTGCACTGCTCCCCCGTCCCCTGCCAGCCTAGAGGCCATGCTATATCTCCCATGGTCTGAGGGGCAGTGTGCTGCACCCACTTTAGGAAATCCTAGATCCACCCATGGATGAAACATGGTGTTTTTCTCTTTAACATTTATATATGAAAAATTATTATCAATGAATAACCATGAGTAGCAACAGAAAGTGCCTCACACCTGCACTGGGGATAGGGGTTGCTCAGTGCAGAAATAACTAATGGGAGCTTGACAGTGGGCTGTAGCTGCCTATGCCAGACTGGTCAGTGCTACCAGGTGGGGCTTATTTCCCTTGGCTTAGCCCCTTTAACCCATCTTCAAAACCTTTAAAAAGCGGAGTAAAAACCTCACCCCCACTTCCCTTCCCCTGCAAAATTCACTCCCTGTGCAGAGGGAGCAGAGAGGAGCTGCCCTCTGATGTAGGAGAGAAAATGCGGTCTCTATAATTTGACAGCTTGTTATCAAGCTATATAGATTTCCTGTGTGATCAGCTCCCTTAACCTGTCCATACCTGACCCCCTTGCTGTAAGCTAAAGCAAACCCTTTACTCCCTCCACAGAGTTCAGCAGTAGCATGCAAGGTCTAAGTAGCACAGAAATGAAGCCAGGGCAGTGTGAATAAGACTAGAAATACCACAGTGCTTAGTTTCCAGCACCATGGGAGCTCCCTGTTCTAGACTAGCAAACAAGTATGTTTTAGAGTTAAGGCTGCAGTAGGACACGCACACATCCTTAAATGTCACCTAACCATAGGCACCAAGACCATGAGCACCCTGGGACTCAAGCACCCACCAAAAAATATTAGTGTGTGCTCAGCACCCATAAGCCATGTCAGGGGAGCTGGGTTGAAGTAACATGATGCCTCTTCTGGGTATGCACAGGGCTCAGCACAGGAATGCAGAAAACCCCACAACCACTTGCAAAAACTAAAGTCAGCACCTATGTACCTAACCCAGGTCCACCAAACTTGCTGGGTCTGAGATGGGAAGAGAAAGCTGAAGTTGGCACTGAGAGTGCTGCAAGCTGCGTGAAGGCAGAAAGGAATGCACAAGTCTTTCCCCTTTATGTGTTTATGCCTTTGAAACAGGGTTTCCTGAAGTCCCATTCCCAAAAGCAGCCCTGGGTTGCTGGACTGCATTCAGGTGCTCACTGGCCACGCTTTGAGGACTCCTGGTTTTACTGGTAAAAAAGTACTAGTGGGCCAAGGGCTGCATCAAAGTGGGTCACAGGACACATTTGGCACACAGGCCACGCAATGGGAACCCTTACTGTAAAGTTTAGGATGGATGCCATAACGTCAACTGTCACTACCATTTACTCATAGTTGTTTGTATACAGCTGTAGCCTAGCTTAGTGGATACGTTCCCCAAAGGAAGGAAAAAAGAAACTGAATCTGCCTAGGTATCACAGAGAAAAAGCTATGTCAAAGCAGTGTCCAACTACTCAGTTTATTTGGAGGGTGTCAGAGTGTGATATGACCACGTCACAAAAAGATAAACATAGATGGCTGCTTTGTTTAACAGCAATGATGCAACTTGCCATCCCTGAAGGCATCTGTGCAATGCCTTCAGAGATACCAAATACTCCACAGCCTCCTACAAGGGTGCCAGTCTGCACCTGCCAACTTTACACAACAGCTTTACTTATTGCTATTTACCTGCTAATATGAAGCATACCTCTCTATTTAAAAAAATAAGCCAGTAAGGGGCATTTGTATATGCTACCATTTTGGCTAACACCAGGGATGGAAAGGTTGACAAAAAGAATGAAAAAGCCTTTATAGTTTGTGCTGAAGAGCCAGGTTGTCAGTTTTGCAGACATCCTCTGTGGCTTGACACCTGAGACAACACACAAAACTTCTATTGATCAGTGGGGTATACAGGTAAAACATGTGACAATTAATTTAAGTGTTAGAAGATGTACTTTGGGATTCATAGTTTAAATACAAAATGTTTTTGTTTGTTTGTTGAAGTGGTCTGTCCATAGCATAAGCATATAACCACACTTCCTTCATAGTGTCCAGCAGTGGGGTTTGAACACCTTGACTTTCAAATCAGTAACTTACAGCTGTAGGTCAATGAGTAAAAGCCTAATGGCCATAATTCTTCTAGAACAAGTAGTAAAGAATTTGACTTATATATTTACAGTAGCTGTAAACCTACATCCTAGCCAGTAGTAGACTTCAGAATTGGATCAATTCTGGCTCTAAATTTACCCAAAGCAGTTTTGTCTAGCTCCAGTTTGTTTCCTGTTTTGTCTTCACTTTCTTTTAAGGCTCCATTTATGGTTAAAGAGGTTTAAGGTGGCACACCTCCTGATTTTTATAATCTTTACAATAGCATTACAATCTATTTTTAATGAATTCCTACGTGTAGCTATGGGGACCTTTAACATCTATTGTGCTATTGTGTTAGCACTGATTTAGCTCTATTTGTGGCACTTCCTGCAGAGAAAATGCATAGGCAGTTTTAGCACTCTGTAACTCTGCTGGCATCTAGCCTATGCTTGCATTTGTACTATTGTACAGGATAGAAACCAGCTTTTCTGTGTTTGGATAGCAACCAGAGTAATTTGAGTGCCAATGCAATCTAAATAATGTTTTAACATTTATAATCTTCATCCCTTTAATTCCCTGGATTTAGAGAAGGTAACAAATGTTTTCTTGTGAAAAGTAAGAAGCCAATATAGTTTTAAGTAAAAAAAAAAAAAGACAAGAAGGCGTAAATTATTAAAACACATCATGGAAATATAGCGACGTATTCATCTAAACAGTAATTCACTCATGCATTTTTACAACTAATATGTAGACAGGCTTGTTAAATTAATGGATTATAGTAGTGCATTACAGTAGAACCCCAAAACAGTAAATCAGTTTCAGATGGAAAAACGACATTATTTTTCATTGCCTATTTTTTTAAACCAAGCCTACAATACCTCATAGAATGATGGATAGTATCAGGACACTTGGTAAGAACACAACCAGTTGCATGGTACAGAATTATGCATCAAGGCCAATAAGATTTTTCATAAAAAGCAATCATCTTACTGATTGTTTACTACAGTTGACTAAAAGTCTATTGGTGATAGTGTAACAAGATACATTTCCCACAATGATTTTTAACAAGCCTATATACATTACTGATGTGCTCACAAAACTAAAACCAGCAGTATTTTAAAATTAACATGTTATAAAGCAACATGATACAAAACAGCAACATTTTCATTCTTGTGACAGTAGTAAGCCAGTGTATACTGTGGTATACAAAATAGATGCTTACAACAATTAACCTTCCACCATTCAACCTGCTTCAGTGTAAGCAAACAAGATGTCTGTAGCCGACTCCTTGTTTCTTTCATTAAAAAAACTAGATACTCCAACCAGCAAATCAATTTATTTTGCAAAATTAAGATTCCTTAAAATAATTAACGTTAGGCATTAGAGAAAATTGCAGGAATTCTAATATACATGTATGTGCAATTTAAGGACCCAATTCTCTAACACAGAGGACATAAGCAGGTAAACTAGACAGACAAACACAGGCTCAGGCTTCTTTCTGCCTGGAGGAACTCCTACCCCACTGCCCAGGCCCTCTGCAAGGAGGTAAGCACTCAAATATACAGACATTTCTCTTTAATTGGGTGCTGTTCAATTCACAAAAGATATGGAGGGGTGACTCAATAAGACTGAGAATCACTGCTCTAACATCTCTGTGCATAAAATTTTCAATGGGATTGCTGGCATGAGTAAAATCATTCGCACGTAGATAACAGTGAAGTAAACATTTTGAATGCCATGACAAACCCAGAACCCCCGCCCCGACCCCCACCCCTTAATTTTTATGCAACAACAAGGCTGCCATTTTGCACAGTAATTTTCCCCAAAAAATTCACAAACGAAGATGCATCATTCCTCCTACAGATGTTTAAATGATTTTTCATTAGTTCAGCTAACATTTCAAGTTGGTAAGGAGCAAGTAGTCAGAAGGAAATCCAAGACCATCATTCAAAATGGGAACCTAGTATCAAAGACAGTAAAGCAATGTATATCCCTTACTTTAATATTAGAGCAACTAACCATAAATAAAAACTTGAGAAGCTATTATTTTAAGTATAAAATGAAAATATTTAGTTATATTTTGAAGTTTTTATTCCTGTTCTGCACTAGAAACAGAAAGGGAAACAGCAAATTGAGTTTTATACACAGCTGTTTAGTTGGCTGTTTTTTATTATTACAAAAAACCCTAAATAACCTGGGATCCATCTAAAAGAGGGGCCGCATACTACCACATGTCCAATTTTAACAATTAGGAATGGCTGCAAATGGAAAAGTAATACAGATTTACTACAGAACCTCTTTCCACTATACATTCTTCTAGACAAGATAGGATATTTGTTTCAATGTTAATTTTATACATTTCAAAGCAGATTATTTCATGCTTTGTTTGGGTTGAGCTGTGTAGTTTGAAGTTGAGAAAAACCATTAACTGGAGTTAGGCTGGGTGAAATTACTGGTTTTGCTTCCACTAATGTTTGTATTTAATAGCTGCTTCTGACTGCAAGTTTTTTAAGTGACAAAAGCTAAAAGGTAGAAGAAGCCACAGACATTCATCTTTTTACTGCCAAGTTTAGCAAACTGGCCATAAAATAAGCAACATCATCTTTCTTTGGTAGGTTTGGTCCCTTTCTGAGAATTAAATTAATAAATTATTTTTCTAATAATAAAACTACTGAGTCTGGCTTATGACTTCCAACAATGAACAACCATCATGCTGAGGCCCCTTGTCTTCTCTTTACTCTCATGGTGACCCTCTAAATAGGAGGCTGAGAAAAGCCATTTTAATAAAACCTTATCTTTAACAAGAATATTTCACTCACAGTAAGAACCAAGCCTCCAGATGAATTCTGAGGCTGCTGTGCTCTACAAAATGAGTCAAGCGTTCTTTTAAATATTTAAAGTTTTGTACTTTGATCCGGAATTTGCAAGTCAGAACACCTACCCTTCTATAAGCCGACTGTATTAGCTTAGAATATAGTCATACAATAACTACAGAGAATATGGTGCCAAATATGGAGCGGAATAAGAATGTAATTTAAAAAATTATTTGTATATGTTCTCTCACATGTAAGCATACTGATAGCTTTCAAGGGGATGAGGAAGAAATGCATCTCTCTCTCTCTCTCTCTCCTGTATTCATAGCTCCTGTTCATACTGAATTACAGAAGCAAGGCAAGGCAAAATGGTCTTCAAATTTCACAGATGATGAGCAGTGTCCTCAACTACATACTGAAGTAATACTCATCAAGATGCAAGAAGGGTCAACATTCACAGCAAATAAATGACAATTTATCAATGCATTTGCCATTAACCTTTGCTAGAGTTCTTTGAACAAGCATGTTCCCCAGGGTAATTTAAACATGAAGAGCCATTCCATTTTAACATTAACAAAAAAGATATCATTTTTATATTTACAGTATAATACATATTTACACAATTTGTTAAATACTAGAATTACAGAAGACACAAGTAGGTACAGAATTGTTTTCTGCACTTAAATGCCCCAGACAGCATTTTTTTCTCCAAAAACCTAACAAGTCTTTTTAGGCTTCTTTGAAGGCTAGATACAGTCTACATTCCGAAGGCCACCATCCATAGTCAAAGCACCAAACCTAAAGTGAAAGAAACAATTTATTCTTAACTCATTCAAATGTGTTCAATATACAATCAATTAACATTTACCCAAGTATAAAAAGGAAATATTTTCTTTCCAATTTCATTTGAGTGTAATGTAATTGTGTTGCTTCCCTTGCATATAATCTCAAGAAACATTTATTTCTTAAATATAATTCTTGTATGTACAGAGAAATCATGTGAGAAGTTAAGTATAAGGGTACATTCCTTCTGTATAGAGCTACCATTGATAGTTTTGCTTGATTGCTAATATCCAAGTAAACCAGAGTAGTTTGGGATTTTGTACTTCTCTGGGCAAAATTAGTGAAAGACCACAGAATAACCCCGAGTGTAACAAGTGCCATCAATTAAAGCACTTTAAAATACTCTTGTAAAAAGCAAGACAAACTTTCTTGGTCATGCTTCAGTAGAGGAGAAGCTACAACTGAAGAATAACTATTACAAATTCAAATAAAATCTGGACAGTCACACTAGCTGAATGGTAAACAACAATTAATTACTATGACTAATTTATCAGTGGTTTTAACGTTATGAGGCGTAGTGTCTCAAGATACAGTACACACTGATTTTTTATATTTATAATAAAAACAAAAATGTTGAGTACGAATTGTACTCATTGTGATTATGTAAAATTTCTTACTACAAAAATTCAGTGCTCCCTATACATAAATTATGCATAGAGAAAAATAATCAGTTAAAGGTTAGACTTTGTACTATTACATGCACTTCTGCTTTGCACTCACTGCCAAAGTTTTGCAAAACAGAACAGTTCACTGTCTTGCTAACCCAGGAAAAGCTGAAGAAAATGTAATAGTTAGCTCAAGCCAGTTAATGCTTGCAAACTATCAGGAGCAGATTCTATTATGAGTCGGTGTATATAAACATTTGGAAATGACGAATTATGCTTTAATAGATGACAGTGTAGTTAATGTGCTTTGTACAAAAATAAACAGGACTCTGGTGGGGATTCAATGCACAAAGTAAGAAGACCACAGCAATGAGTTAGCCCAGTGACTGATTAACCAGATTTCACTGTAAAATTATACCTAAAGGATAGTTGAAATGTAAAAATCTAGAGAGAGACTTGTTAATCTCTTCAGGAAGTACAGCTTCAGTCTAGCACTACCCACCCTGAGCAACAGTTACTTCCATCAGCTGGCTCCAAATTATTTTACGACTTATGGTATGTCAAAATCAGAATTTGACTTCCATAGTACTACAACAAATAGCACTTTTGTTTAAAGCATGAAATGCATCTCAGAACAGCAATTTAGGAATGGGCAATTGCTACTGCAGTTCAGAAAGTCTATAGTATATCTTTTGTTCATTTCCTCGCTCACTGGATCCACCAACAATATCAAATTAGTTCGTCCCTTAAAGTGGATATATCTACTTGCCTTTCTAAAATGTGATTATTCTCAGCTAATTCTTTAACAACACCCTCCATCTCTTCTTTCAATTTCTTCATGCTATAAAACAAAAAACAGAAGGAAGCTTTTTTATTATTACAGGGAATGATTATCCATTGTAGTCACTGCCAATTTTAATATTACGATAGACAATAGTGAAAGCACTTGAATGGAAATAGTTTCTTCAGTATAATAAAATATTCTAATGCTCCCCAAACACTACCATGATTCCTTACAATAAAGTTTTGACAACTTGCCATTGTGTGAAAAAAAGATGAGAAAACATTATGTTGGCAACTGAGAAAAAAAAACAACAGAAGAGGAAAATGGAAATGGTGAAGAGTATATTGCTTTCATCTCCCTGTTTCTACAAGCAAATCATTTAGCATTACAAGTCTGCTTCTGTAACTGACAAAATTCCTGAGCTTAATTTAGGAGTTTACAGAAGATGCAGGAAAGATACTGATGCAGAAATTCTTACCCAAGAGTCATTTCCACTAATGTGTTTGAACTTGGATAAACTTGATTCATGGTAGGTTTCATTCCAGCAGAAGCAGCAAACATTTTTTGTGGCAGAGTGTCCTGTAACTGTAACCAGAAAGTAAGTTATGCAGCCTGTGTAAGATCATGGATCAGCAAGCTGCTGCATGCTACTCAACACTCGCAACAAAATCTTTCATTTAAATTTTCTGGTGGTGTCTACAAATGCTGTGAAAATGGTTGGGCGCAGGTGTGCTGCGACTGTGGCTTATCATGCTGATGAGCAGTGGCTCAGTGGTTCTGAGTACTGGAAACAGGAGGATCAATTCCTGTTTGCTGCATTTATCGGTTGGCTATTATCTTGTACTTTGACTGTAAGCTCTTTGAGGGAGGATCTTTCTCCCTGTTGTATGTTTGTTGAGAGTCTAGTAAATGGAGCCCTGACCCATGGGCTGGGACTCTGTAAACTACTCTAACTAGAATACAATAAATTCAATATTGACACTGTTCCACTCAGACTTCTGCTTGGGACTTTCAGCAGCAGATCCCACACCTTCTTTTCATTTTACATTTTGTTTTAAATAAATCTTTATACTACATGTAAATACATACACTATTATGTCCTGAGCTTTGTTTTGTATTTGTGCATAATATATAATGAAGCATAATAAATACAATTTAAGCATCTGATATATCTTTAAGGAATATATTGCAGAAGAAAGCAGAATATGTCCTTTTGTGCTTCAATATTCCTCAGTAACCTGGTTGTTAAATGATTCCAGTGGGTGTAAATAGATAGACACCCCAAATGGTCACTGAACCAACGTTAAAAATTCTTGCCTTTTGGAAGAGATGTGAATTGTTGCCTCCAATTTTATAGGGCTTTTAAAGAGTGGTTTTGCTTAAGAGTGACAGTAAAAATGACACCACAGGGTTCCTAGACTGCGACACAGGAACCCTGGTACATTTCCCAGCTTTGCCAGAAACTGTATGACACCTTGGGCATGTCACAATCTTCCTGTGCCTCAAGTTCCCCCACTCTTGACCCTGGCTGTAAAATGGACATAATGTTTCTCCACCTTGTTGTATTAAGGTAAGATAAATGTGTTAATATTTAAGGTGCTCAGATACTACTGCGATAGAAGCCACAAAGAACAGATCAATGTTTCTCAATGCTCTTATATCAAATGCTCCGATTTAAATGCTCAGATTTATATGCTTAGATTGAAATTAAAAAAAAAAAACCTTTGTAAATTTATCCTGGGCTCAGAATCAGACTGGTTTAGATCCAGTCTGCGCATCACTACCAGCAATAAAACTTCTGCAGATCAAATTATCGTATTTCTGCAGCTTTACTGCTTTCAGTAGCTTTACGCAAGTTTAAATGGAATGTAATAAGAAGTGGGGTCAATGCTGTTGAGGATGCACAACAGAGAATAAAATCCTTTGCTCAGTCTAAATACTGGACACAATTTATGAAAATTATACCTCATTTATATAGTCCTGGTATTTGGATATCTCTTCGTCAGTGTCATAACACTGGTTGGTAAGAGTCAGTAACTGTTTCCGTAAATGAAGCATTTTTCTGGAAACAAAAATAAATTTTCTTTTAAAAAGGCAACCATAAAACCATGGTGCTGTCAACACCGTTGAACTTTACAGAATTAATCTCTTGCCTCATCCAATCCTCAGCCTTGTCCAGAAATGTATCATACTTGCTGACACATTCATCTTTGAACAGAGATATGGCTTTTGTGGCATGCAAATACAGCTTCTGCCTGTAATACAGAAATAGTCAAAAGAACATTGTTATACCACTGCCAGTACCTCATTTCACAAACTAACTTTTTAAAGCTTTGAGGGACACATGAAATATATGTAGAGTCAAAACTGAGGGGAGAGGGATAGCATTTTTCCAAGTTATTTTTGTATTAATGTAACATGCAAGAATTTAGTATGCTGCATGAACTACAGGTTATACTACAAAAACAATGTCACAGAAGATAAAATGTACTATTTGAAGCAATGTCTAACTACTGCAACTAAATTGTTCAGTGATATTCTTTACATTTAAAATAAATTTGAATAAAGCAAATGACTGAATAGATTCAAACAGAAGGGGTAGAGTTTATTAGTATTTTTATCAGTATTTAGACCATACCTAGGAGAACCAGTCACAGAAGAGGACTGCATTGTCCAAGGTGGGGTACACATACTCTCATGCCCCAAAGAGCTTACTTTATGAAACAAAAGAACACACAGATACAGGCAGAGTTGGGAGGGAAAAACAGCAGAAAACAATGAGATAATACCAGTCAGCATGATAAGCAATGGTCTCATACACCAGCTGTTTAACCATGTATGTTGGGAGGTGGGAAACACACAGGTACAGGTATATAGTACAGAACATGGAATCACAGAGTGTGAAATTTTGAAAGACTGAGACCACATGGAAGCTTTCAGGGTTTTGCAAACTAAAGTCTTGCATGATTTATAGTTACTAATCAACTAGTAATATATGTATAATCAGAATATACGGTTTCTCATTAAGCCCACACCTGTCATTCATTTGGAAAGCAATCAAAACAAATACTGCTCACTTATTGATTCAGTGATAAAAAGCTACATGGAAAATCAGGGGAGCAGACAGCCCAGGGTACAATTGTACTGTAAATAGGAAGATGAGAGTTCTCAGGCCAGCAGGCTCAAAATCAATGCAGAGGCATAAGTGAGTACTTCATGCCACCCTTCAGCGATTTTCTCAGGGTACATGGAGTAAAATGGAATATGATCATGATCCAAAAAGGACTTGGAATTTTCCCAAGGACAGAGTCATAGAAGAAAAAAAAAAATCTGTATTCAAAGCATGAATATGAACTATGTTAGGAGCAACTAACCTGCTAGTGCAAAGATTTCTTTACTAGATGCACAGGCTTAATCTACTTCAGGTGTTTTTCATACATTTATTTAAGTTTCTATTAGTGGTAAAGCTCTAGGGAAACCTAACACAGACAAGTCACCAGCATCCGTTTTTTAACGTTGCCATAGGATTTTATTTATTTATATAGGCTGCTGACAGCCATGGCAGGGGAGGAAGGCGAGAAGAGTTAAACACGCTCTACCAGAAGCAGCAGCACGTTAGTTTGACCCAGCGCTGCAACAGCTATACAGGAAGCCCTTGCTATTTGCAGGTTCGGCATTCGCGGTTTCAAATATTCACGAATGCCAAACCCGCATCTTAAATACACTTAAAGGAACTACTCGGCAGCTTTGCGCTTGCCACTGCCGCCGCGCTCCCAATGCCGCCAGCGCAGCCATTCCCCCCGCAGTCGCTGGGGGCACTGCGTTCATGAATGCAGACAGTGCCTTATTCACAGATTTCACCATTCGCGGGGGATACGAGAACGTAACCCCCACAAATGTCAAGGGTCTCCTGCACAGATCATTCATTCCTGCCTGTGGCAGGGGGTCAGGCTAGATGATCTGTTCAGGTCCCTCCTGACCCTAGCTACTATGAAACTATGAATCAGTGCCTGATCTATAAAGATGTTGTGCAAGCCAGGTCCAACTAAACACTTCTGGCCACGTGCTAGGCTCAGTTCAGGGTTACATGGAGTTTAAAGTAAAGCGTCATTTTGTTTTGTTTTTTTACATCTGTAAGAAGCCATAACCCCTATTATATATTCATTTCACTTATTAGAAAGCTATGCCACAGCCTCATTCACCTAATAGTTATAATTTCCAATATAAAATGTATTCACATTTGTTATTCTGCCAACATTATTCATTTATCTTGAATAGCTCCTCTCCCTTCTTAGTGTCTACCTTACTTAGAGCTGCTCTTGGGCAGTTAAACGACACTGTAGTTAGAAATACTTGTGCTCCATATACTTTAGGATTCCACCATTAATCCCATGAGTAGTGCTGCACTGGTGGCAGTAACAGCAAGTGATTTTAGGGAAAACTCTGTAAACTCCACTTAAAGGTAGCAAGTTAGAGGGATGAGGAATTACATTAATGCCTACTTTATGCACATGGACTTTTCTGAAGAATAAATTAACACACTGATTTAGTCAACTAACCTAGCTCTTATAAGTAACCAGAAGCTACTTCTGACTTAAACATAATAAAGTTCTCATAAGCATTGAATTTCCTTTTTCTCCTGCAAATAGCAGGCACACTTATACAACTTTGAAGTTCCTCTAACAAAGTCCATATCATATTCCCAGCAACCTTGCCTGGAGGTAACATCGTCTACATTCACAGGCATACTAATAAAACTACTCTAGTCACAAGCAGCAGCAAATTCTAATAATAAATGTAGTGTATAAATGTGTTATATGTTGTCTATAATAAATAAGTTATGGTACTTGACAGAAGTTAAAAAAATAAAACAACAACAAAAAACCCCACAGATGCAGTCCTGTCCAAGTTTACAACATGGATCAAATGGGGACCAGAAGAAAAGGTAAATAGGAAAAATATGCCAGCAACCTGAAAGCATGAGTGAATTTCTAGAAGCAATCTAAAACTCACTTACTTGTCAAATTTGTGGATTTGTTCCTCATTATAAGGAAGTCCTAAAAATCAGAGAAGATTATAGATATTATTCTTCTAGTAGTCATCATCCCCAATAAACTACAAAAAATCCACAGCCATCATCAGTGGTATGGATTTCCCTCTCCTATGGAAAGCATACACGTGTAATTACTTTTAGTACAGCTGCTTCAATTTATAAAAAACAAGTTTATACTTTATTTATGCTCTCAGGTGGTTCCCCTAATTGCTATACTGCAAAACAAGCTCACTGTTGCCCACCTCTCCCCATTGCTGAAAAGACTATCAAAACAGACTGAGAGCTGACTTGTTTTTTATACTCTTAATCATTTCCTGATTTATTTTTAGCATAAATTGAAAGTTACTTACTACGTTCTGCTTTGTCTTTTTTGAATTGATAATAAATATCAGTGATAGAACTCAGCAATACTTGCAGTTTCTCCGGACTAGAAGAAAAAAAGGTTAAATTAAAATTAATTTTACATAGGACTGGAAGGTTTATGATTTACCAAGTCCAGTCCTCTTCATTCACAGGCAATCATTTACTCAAGGAATCTACATCTACAAGGCGCAATACCAGAAACACAAAGAACATCCTACAAACCTGCCATAGTTTAAAAAAAATAATAAATCAGGGGAAATGGACACTGCCAATACCCTGCCATTGCAATAATAGGGAGGTTGTTGGTTAACATATGCTTGGAATATCCCAGGAAGAAGGCTATGGCCCATGTTACACAGGAAGGCAAAACACACCCTATACAACATTCCCAATTTGAAAATTTGCTTCTTAACCCCAAATCTGACAACCAATATGATCCTGAGGAAAAAGCAAAACCCTTCAGTCAGGAACCTGAGTTTACCAAATACCAGCAGGAGGATCAGTGCGCTCCAGGCAAAATGACTTCTGTTGATGATAGTCTTTTGTAGAGTTTAGATTATGGTTTGTATGAGATAGTTTGAATAGGGATGATGTGGCCTCAGGCAGGGGGTTGGACTACAGGATCTCTAGATGTTTCTTTCAGCCCTAGTTCTCTATGATTCTATGAAAAAAAATCCAGCCTTCATTGTGGGCAATGTCCCAGTGCTTCACAGAAAGGTAACAACAAAAAAAATTGCTAGAAGTGCAATATGGGGAGGGGGAATTGCTTGCTGGCCCTGGAAGAAAGCCAGTAAGAGCTCTCAAGTAGGAGATTACCAGACACGTAACATATTACCAGAGTTACCTGAAAACCCCACAGATCTGAGACTGCAAATACAGATTACAAATACTACACAGATTACTGAGCAAGAATTTAATGCCCTGATTCCATAACCTCCATAAACTTCAGTTCGTCTTAACTCTTGCTCATAATTCTGTTTGTGTATGTGTTTCTGTAACATATGTATATTTATTTATTCATAAGGATATTACAAGTGTAGCTCAGTATAGGAAACAGAATACACTCAAATAATGACTATAATAAAGTTGTCACTTACTTCCTGTCTCTTGGATGTGTGCCTTCCTGATTTGCCCAGGTATCAACCAGCAACCCACCAGGAGAGAGTTTGCCTTTGATATCCTGAAGACTGGTCTCTATTGTTCCCTGAGAGCTGGAAAGCTACAAAAGAAGAACACATTCAACTACTACCATTGCCACAAATCAAAAATTACCTCAGAGTAAACTGGATCTTATATATTATTACTGAATAAGGTTTTAACCCTTTCACTACATGTTTTAACCCTTAGCTACTTAGCCAAAAGCTGAAACTGCAGATGCTGGTGAAGGCTGGCCTCCATGGGCAGATCCAAGATTTTGAAGAGTAAAAAAAAAACTAAACAGTCTGCAGGGCTATGAAATAGAAGAGAGATCAGGAGTAACTAACAGACAGCCAA